CTTTCAGTTGGGGCAGGAAAAGAAAGCAGTAAGAGTAGAATAATGAAAATGAGACATCTCCCATAACTGTGTAAAGAATAAAGATCACACACACACCAAAAATAAAATAAAATAAAAAGGTAGAAAGAACAGTTGCACAGTAGTGCTTTCTATGCCATAAAAGTCACTATTTATGGAATGCTGCTATGATGACCAGAAGGAAGATGATGATGTACAGGACAGTTAAGATAACTCAGTTTCAGGACAGACTCAGAAATACTTCCTTGTGAGTAAAGGGTTAAAACAGGAGGCTAGTCAGCAGCCAGAAGCCATACTGAAGTTATCAGACTTTGCATTTCTTAGATTTTGCTCCCAACTTCTGCTTAGAGGAGTGATAAGGATCTATTTTGTGGGGGTATCTTATAGGGTGTACTTTACATGATGGCAACAGCTCTGCAGTATTTCAAGAAGTTCAGATTTTAGGAAAAAGTATATGTAGTAATATAAACATAAAATGGGGGCTTTCAATTGTGTATTTTCTTTCCTTTCAAACTTGCATCCGAAAGATGAACAAACCAAAAAACATTCCATATTCTCTCACATGCATTTCAAATCTGCTAAACTAAATAAATATTTAAGAAAAATATTAATACAGTTATTATTCCAGAATGACCTTCATTGTTTTTTCCCCTACAGATGGAAGCTACATATGAAAATATCTCCACCTTAAGACGTCCGGTATTCCCAGTTGGCAGGATCACCTCTGTGCCCCAGAAACAAAACTTGCAACATCTCCTACATTTCAGGAGATGTTTTGCTGGAACCTACTAACTCCTAGTTCTGAAGTTGCCAACACCACTTTTGCTCAGTTTTCAAGCTCTGGAGTGTTATGCAAGACACTTTATTGTGCTTCCACTGATTCTGGGGTAGATAGTTAAGTCCACTGTGTCTTTCAGCATTTCTGAAAGAACTTTAAGAAACAAAAAGCGCATAGATTTGATACAATAAGCTAGAACAGATAAACTCATGCCGAGACCATGATTAAAGGAAATACTTCGAACCACTTCCAGTAAGAAAGTCTTTTCATAACACTTTCACCAGCGCTAAAACAATTGTAATGACTATTTGAAACAAAACTTATTCTAGTAGTTGCTGAACTACAAACTCAAGAGAACATGTCTGAACTGGAGCATGTACAGCAGTATTTTTCAGGCTTGAGAAAGTATTCAAACACCCCCCAAGAAACTACAGCTTTTTACAGCACACAAAAATTTTACCATAACATTTTTCACTACTGGTTATTTTTGCTTCAGCAATAACATCAGCACTTCAAAGCACCACTTACGGAAGTAAAATAATTTAAGTATACCTGCTAATGGTAAGAGAATGCCTCAGGTTACCTTTACTGAAATTTATGATGGGTATTTCTAGCAAGTCTCCCTACAGAATGACACTTTGGTTCATCCAACAAATTTGACTTTTATATGTAGAAAAAGATCCACACATCTTCCCTATTTAGCAAGATCTCAAAATAACCTGCATGACTTAATAAATCCATAAACACAGCAGTTGTAGGGATACTAGAAGAGTTGACAATCATGATCTTGTTCATGTATGAAGGGATTAATTTATTCTCCTTGTTCATTTATTTGTTAATAATACTGCATGTTGCTGGAGGGTTGTGTGTTACGGAATAGTTGCTACAAAAGTATAAGCTTTTCCCCAAATATCACTCTCAAACCTGACACCCTATACCAACCTAGCAGTTCTGCTAACAACTTTTCTATAAAGCTAAACAGCTGGATCAGGAAACTGACCTGGATTAAAATTAAAATAAACCCAAACCAAGCCTTGATGGAAGGAGAAGAAAACAGAAAGGACAATTACTGATTCTGCAGATGTTTGACCTTAGTTTCCAAGTTAGAAGCAACACCAGCTTCTATAGTACCTCACATTCCAGATTTCTGCTCTTTGTACCGAACGGATCTTTAATAAACACAATAGCTTTTAAAGGAAAAGATCTTCCAATTTTGTTTTTTCCTTAATAAAAACAAGTAGGTTCTATACATTTCTTTTTCTTTCCTTACCCACCTCCAATTTTCCAAAAAGCTGAAATTTCCATTTGTGGAAAGAACAAACATGTAAATTTGCACCTTCCTGTTTCGAGGCTTGCTGAAACGGAAAACGTCTGCAGCATAAGTATAGCAGTCACCACCACACAGCCACCAGCTCTCCTATACGTCCAGGTCACTTGCAACCAAAGAGCTAAACTTCACCACATTTGGAACAGACATTCTGTACTTGAGAATCTCCTGTAGTTTGTCTCGTCAAGAAGAGACCCATGGACAAGTGGCTGCTTCTTACATGCTCGTACGTACTGCACACACTCATGTGCCCCTTCAGAAGGGGGCTCCTTCCCTCTGGAGCTGCGGCCAGCACCGCGCTCCCTGCCCCGTAACTGCGGCACCTCTTGGAGCACTGGGCTCCTCTTGCTACACCGGAGAGGCAAAAAGTCCAAACTAACGTTTACCTCTTATCATGATCGGATTCAATGTCTAATAAAATCACATAAAAGCCAAACATTCAGGATGAACGCCACCACAATTTAAGTTAATGCATATCAAATAGTTTAGCATCCACACAGTTTTTTTTTTTTTCTTCTCCTATGGGGAGAGATGACATGACATAAAATGTGTTCCCATTGCAAAGATTTCCAGCAAAGTTTCAAATCTGTAAGGATCTCCAGTCTAAGTATCTAAGCCTGTTCTTAATATAAGTTCACTGAAAAACACTCCGAACGTATAACCCAGAAAAAAAATAAGCAACTAAAGTCACTGTGTATAGAGTGGAAAGTATCTGAAGATCGCTATCCATGCTCTTCCCAAAATAAGATCCTAAAACACCATGTTGAGGAAAAAAAAAAAAAAAAGGCA